TCCCATTTCTAGAGTGCTACATTTCAGAATAGGACCACATTTTGTGAAACAAACTATAGAACAATAGAAATACAGAGCTTGTCTTATAGGCCCTGACCTGTGCTTAGTATAGGTCTTGAGATGATGAGATACTGTAGAGGTTGGGGGAAGTAGTGGGAATATTAGGGTTCCTATATAGGTGAATAAAGATACCTATACTATTTATGCTACCAAAGGTACATAGGTGTTTTATATTGATGTACAGGTGCTATACTACTGTAGCTTAGTCCCCTCCCTGTGAATTTTTAAGTTATTCTGGAATAAGTAAGACTTCCAAACAAGAGGGTTGTGCCAATTAAGCTATACTGATATCAGTAAAGCAGAGCAGCTTCAGTATTAAAGGTCTATGCTAACAATGCTACATCTAGTTTAATTTATGAGAAGTGTAAAGCTTTATCTACGCTTACAATTTTGCCATGTTGGGTAAGGGTGTGAAATGATCATGCCTTCTAGCTGATGTAGCTTTGTGAACAATCCCCCCCTCCCCCCAACACACTTCCCATCCCAAAATCTGGGTACAGAAAAGAACATCTATTGTTTGGGGCAGTGGATTGGTTAAAATGACAGAAAAATTCCTTCTGCCACCACATGCGACATTGCCAGTAGAAGGCTCTGGTAAGTCAGCGTGTCATGCCACACCAGCTGCTGCCCTGCAATGCAGACAAGGCCCCCAAGACTATCAAATAACAGCAAAGTGTATTTTAAATGCCATTTCCTCTCTGATTTTAATAAACCTTCTTTTAAGGTATTCTGCTATTATGTGTGTTTGAAGCCCAAAACCTGAAGTCCAAAATTTGAAGTCCAAAACCATCCTTTTAGTCTTAAGCAAAGACTTAGAATTAATTTTCTTCTTCCATTCAGTTGTGTTGCCAAAGACATCAACAAATGAGAAAAGGGAAATGTCCAATGAAGTAGTAAGGAAATATGAGCTAAAAGGAAGTCTAGTAACAGATACTGAAGGACAAATTGATAGAATGGTTCCCACCATGCACAAGGTGAAGCTAACCACATTTACAACAACACTGAAACTATAGTACAAGAAAGAGCAAGTCCCTTTATGCAACTGGAAGAAAAATGAGGTCAGTGAGTTCAGGGAGTTTATTTTCTTCAACCACTAGAAACCCTTTCACACAGATTTCACTTTTATTTACATAAGTCAGAACTACAGAAAGTTACTCTTAGCAACACAGGCATACCACAAATCTTGCCTGAGCATGTGAGAGAAGAGGCTTATATTCAAAGCCATCTCATTCTTACGAAATCCACTCCTTTTCCCTTGATGAAAATTGAACTGGCTCAGACAAAACTTGCATTATTCAGCTAATGCACCTGTAGAAATGACCATAGCCCAAATCATATCCTTTCACTTAAACATCTTTGGAGGGGAAAAGATAATTCAGGAACCTCCATGAAATTCCCCTGGTTGAGCACCTAGAGCCAGGAGGGTCACTGTCTACTGCAACAGTGAGGGGAGGGAGCAGATCCCACAGCTGGGGGGAAACGGTTTTCCCATCCTGCAAATTGTTGCGATACTGACATCTTTTCCTTATCTCCGATTATGACAAAAAGTTAACAGTCTCACAAATTGTTTGGTCTGAAAAAAAAAGGAAAAATAATCAATTTTTTTTTCAGTTTGGGTCACTTCAGCATTTTGGTTTATTTTTTCTTTACTTACTATTACAAATATTCTTCAATTTTCAAATAGCCTCCCCAGAATTACCAGAACATTAAAATATTTTTTTTCAATAGTTTTAACAGTCCCCCTCCCAACCTTTTTTGGAGATAAGAGATGTGTCGAAATCACTCATTTTCTAGGCAACAATTTCATTCAGATGAATCAGGGTTTTGGGAGGAAAAAATGTTTTTTTGATATATTTCCATGCTGCTCCAGAACAAATGACATTTCAACATCTCTGACTTTTAGGATTTGTGAGGAGTGAGTGCCAAACCCACACAGAATCAGACAAACTCATTGACTCCTTTGGCCTGACTGTTGTATTGTCTCTCCTCCCCACTCACCCCCCAACAGTCAGAAGCTGCAGAGGAGAGTTGAGGTCACCAAGACCCATCTACTAGCTCTTGAGCAGACCCATATTTTCAGCTCATGCAAAATTAATGTATCCTAACTGCACATCAGACGAGAACAACTTCTGAGAGCTGCCCCCTCGCCTCCCTGACCTTTAAAGCATTTTCAGTCTTTTATCTGTTGTCCTCAATGCGCAATTCCTGTTAACTGGATTCATCTTTTAATGACCCTTTTGTGAAGTCAGCATGATTTTTGGTGCTGAAGTATAGAGGTAGGACTCAGAAGCACAAAGGATCCCATTCCATTTTCCATTAAACTGTTATCAGGTACAAGACATACTGCAATGTATGATTTGAACAGTTTCTAGGGAGGTGAGATGTAGGTTTGAATTCTCTCATGCAGAGGATGGAAATGAGCTGGAGAGAAATTGGTACAACCTGGACTGTGCAGCCTGGGGAACAGAAGACACAGAGGGGACTCGGTGGTAGTCTAGAAGTATATCGGGGCATCCATCAGGGCTTGGGGGAGCATCTGTTCACTAAGGCCCCCCAGGGGAGGATGAGAAATAATGGGCACAAACCAATTGAAGATTGCTTCAGGCTAGACATAAGGAAAATCTTCTTTACAAGTCGAGTGCGGAGGGTTTGGAAAAGGCTCCACCCCGGCGATCTTCAAAACACTTGACGCCCATCTTGCTGGGGTCATCTGCCCCCAGCCGTCTTTCCTGCCCAAGTGCAGGGGGGCTGGACCCAAGGATCTGTAAGGCCCCTTCCAGCCCCTAACAGCTATGAAACTTAGGTTTCCAGGTGTTCTAATCACCAGAGCAATATGGAAAATGGGGGTGGGCAGCTCTTGGACCTCCTCTGCCTGGGTTTGGAAAGGCAAGAGTAACCACTGCTAGGCTTTTCAAAGAAGGGTATAATAAAAGTGGAGAGGACATGACATGCAGCCTTCCATGGTGTAAGCTACTTCACTCCAGGGTAAATTACCAGAAAGCAAAATTGTCATGTGTCTGCTTCTTTACTCAATGTAATCCCAGATCAGTTGCTTGGTTGCTGCAAAGCAGCTCTCCACACCTAGCATCCAGATGCTGTAACAGTAAGCAGCTAGCTTAAGGGAGCTTGTTGCATGTCTACTCCTTATTACCTTACCTTATTACCATACCTTCTTATTAGGATAAATTATGTATAGTATGTATAGTAATTGTGTTGCACACCTGCACCCAGAGCATGTGAACTTTAGGCAGCTGCCTGCTCGTCATGTTGCTTGATTTGGATCTCAGGCTGGGACACCTCGTTTTCTCAGTGCATTGTAACCAAGGGGTGCCTGGAGAAGTGCGGGAAGGCTGGAGTCTGCTGAAGCGCAGTAATTAGTGTGTCTCCAGCAGCCTCCGCATCTTGTGTATCAGTGTTCGCTCACTTCAGCAGCTTGACAAGCTGTAGTGTCCCTGCCATGTTGAAGCGTGGGGATGCTGGTACACGAGATGCTGCACCTGTAAAAACACCCAAGGTGTTTAACACAGTTCTGGATCCCATTCTGCAAACGAGCCACCCACAAGTGTGACACATGGTAGCCCCTAACTTTTAGAAAATGTTTTGGATCTAGCTCTTAAGTACTTTCTATGCCCATTAAACATGAGTGCCTGGCAGAGGAAAGAAAGTTAAAATGCCAGAGCATGTAGTATAATATAATTGCTATAGTTCACACTGCTGGCTTGTTAGCATAGCTTCTGGAAAGCCAGCCATATTGTCTGGAAAGACAACGTTATTGTCACGAGCAGTACGTTTCTAGGAAATGGCTCCATTTAATATTGGAGTGTTTACTGTATTCCTTGGACATCGGTAGGAACTGAGGATTCACTGCCAGGAAGTGCTCGGTGGTTTGCAAGGCTTGGCGAGGAGTGGAGTATCCGGACCTCAGGCAAGCCTTGCTCTGGCTGTTCTGTGCCGTTGACAACGAATTTTGCAAAAAGCTTTTCGTCAAGTGAGGTTCCCTGAGGACGAAGGCGGACTGCACAGCTGCATTCACACAGGATCTGTTATGAATAGTAGGCAAGCAGTCTGCCATCTCTCCATCATATGTCTCCGAGTCTTGGCAGGCTCCATGCACCAGCTCTGCTCAAGGGGGGAATCTGGAGCCCAGGAATTACTGAAACCGAGTGCCAAGGGCTTGGGGAGGCCAGGCCTCTTCCCGCAGCGCCTTGTGAAACCCTCCAACTTGTCCAGGCTCTCACATAAATAAGCAGGCTGCTGTGCTGGGGAAATGCCAGCCGCCAGGATTTCCCCAAGAGCCCATCCTGTTGTTTGAAGGAAATATTTATTAGTTGCTCTTGGGGAAGGATTTGGGGAAGTGGAACTCTCCCCCACCCCAAACTTCCTTTGCCAAAAAGTTTGGGGGGGGGACGGGGGTCTTGCAGAGAAATCCTGGGCTGGTCCCAGCCTCTGCCAGACTCCCTAGGGCGCTTGGGGCCAAATCCTTTAATCCACTGTGCCCATTTACCAGGGTTGACTGCAGGGGCCAAGGCACACAGTGGGACTCATTAGGGCTCAGTATAAATGATATATATACACACACATACACACACACATACATAAACGTATGCAAGATATAAATAATAATGTGCATTATATATCTCCATATATGTATACAGCTCCAAAACATTATACATTTCATTACACTGTTTAAAACATTATAGAGATAGCTATATAGCTATATATAATGCCTTAAACTGCATAATGATATATATAAGGAGCGCGCGAGCCTCCGCGCGGGCAGCGTTCCAGGCTGCAGTCCCCACCCGCACTCCCGGGCTCAGCCCGCCCCCTAGTGGCTGCTCCCTTTTCCGCCGACGGATCCTTCTCCTCGCGACATCCCCTTTAAGCGGACTGTACCACCGGCGGGGCCCAATGAGCGCATCCCCGCTGCGCCGCTTCCATAACCCCTGGGGGGAGGGGTGCATTAAAGGGGCTGGAGGCGTCGGTGCCCCACCCCGCGGGTGGGTAGCTCCGCCCCGCCCCAAGATGGCTGCCACCATGAAGAAGGCGGTGAGTGCGGCCTCCTCTGGGTGCCCGGGCGGG